ATGACTGCTTTCTATATTTGTTCATTCCTAACTTAGAGCTCACAGAGATTCCCTGAGGAAGCCACTTGTACGGTGGTTTCCTTGGCTCTTTTTCTGTCATCTTTTTCCCATTTTCTTTCTATCTTCTAGGAATTCAACATGCCAATTTATAGACTACTGGTGGTCTTTCCCATTTTCTGGAACCACTATATATTCAATCTTTTAAGCAGTGGGACTTAGAGAGTGGAGGTGCCCTTACTCTGCCCAGTCTTCCCTTTTTTTTTTTTTTTTATTATCTTATGTTAATGTTGCACTCTTTGCTTAGAGGTGCAAGACCTTGGTGCTACATCAGCAAGCAACTAAAAAGAGAATATTCCCTTTTCTAAACATTCTTCCAGCTACTCCACCATCAGGAAGGTCTTAACTGATTTTCTATCTCCACGGGTTCCAGCCTCCTGACATTGGGCATAGCTCTACCCTCCTTATCACCAGTTCTTCTTAACAGATTCTCCCCACTGGTTTCCCTCACTGGAAATGGAACACACAGAAGGCCCATCCACCTAAAAGAGGTGTCCAGTTAGGCCATTTTGCCGACCTGAAGAATTTCTTTTTGTTTTGTTTTTTTAATAAGTGGAGAGAGTTTATATGCACGTCTAGGTATGTTTGTTTTGGGGGATTTTTATTTTTATTTTTTAGCTCCTGAAATATGGCCATGTTTTTGTTAAATAAAATATCTGGTATCAGCCAAGAGACTGATTAACATATGGGCCATCATGACCAAAAATAATATGACCAAAAAAAAAAAAAAACACCCCACAAAACACCTTAAATCCACTTTCATCACTGGCATTTGGTTCATTATCAACATTACAAAATTTGGTAAAAGCCAGGAGAATTATTAGACATTAGGGACAAGTCTTTAAATCTCTCCCTAAATCTTGCTCCAGGCTACACATCAAAAGAGATAAAGTAAATCAGCAACAAAAACAGCAACAAAAACCGCTTTAGTTGCTATTTAGAAAGCAAATGTTCAGTTTCTGTGTCAAAAAGCAAGCCCAAAGAGAGAACCTGCATTGTTGAGATTTATTCTGTTAATGGACTGACAAGAAGAGATAGCTATAAACTCCTCTTGGCATCAAAAGTCTAGGCTTAGAGCCAGTAGATTCTTAAGGTTTATTTGGAACAGCACACATCTTGACAGCCAGCAGAGTGGACGGTTTAAATACCATCCTCTTCACACAGATATTTGAATTGTGTAAGGGTGTGAGGGTATGTGTGTGTGTGTGAGTGTGGCAGGCAGGGGTAGGAGAAGGTGACAAATTTAGGTAAGGAAGTAAAAATTCCCTTCCCTAGAGCTCGTGTCTGAATGATGAAACCTCTCCAATCGTCCATCCCCTGATTGGTACTCATTTAAGAGCCATGATATTCTTAAGCAAATATAGTCATAATTCTGATATGCTGGTAACAAAAAATATCAGAGTAATCCTCCTAGTCTTTTCAAGAATTAATGTAAGAGAGCAGTACTCTAACCCACAGACTACGAAAGTAACAGTATTGAGTTACTTGCATATAAACATCAAACTTGCAAATAAATCCATGTAAATTAAAGCACTAAAGAACGTCCCGCCCTCTGTCTCTGTCCTGCATAGAAGAACTGTTTACTCAATCTGAATATCTGAGGACAATCAGACCCAGAGTGTTACATCCTCTTCAGAAGATGCAGAGAAGTTCACTTCCTCATGGATATATAGAAGAGTTCAGAAGTGGTGATTATTCCCAAAATTTCATCTGTCTTATCTCTTGAAACAGAAGCTCTCTGCCTCTATACAGAGCTCAATTTCCCAACTCTTACCCCTGATGATTCAGGAGTGAGGAACTGGCCATTTGGTGCACAGAATAGGGAAGGTACGTTCTTACCAGAACCCAGATGACATTTTTACTTATGGGGGGAAAAAAAAAGTTAAAAGTAATGTTATTATTAATACTACAAATCAAATGGCTCTTGATCGCTACCTCAGAATCCAACAACTTATGATAGTCTATCTGTATAAAAAAAAAAAGTTGAGAGTAAACTTTAAAAGTTAAATCTTGTCCATGTTGCATTACATTGCAACTTAAAAAGCATTTAATATATTTAAAAATACCTTCTCATGCAAATGTTCAGAGAATCCCAATAACCCAATGTGTTTGGCAGAGAATACATTATTATATTCATATTTCAAATGGCGTCCTTCCTACAGAAAGTTTAAATGACTAGCCCAAGCTCATCTCATCGATAATAGGAATGCTTTCCTTTAATGAGCTAGTGAGATACACCTGCCCCCACACTCCCAACGCCTTTGTAAGTGTCCAAATTCCTATTATTCTTCACATTTCCAGCCCAAATACTTCTGTTTTCATGAAGATAGTTATGATGCCCACGCACGCCCCACCAATGATAGTGATATGTTCTTCCTTTGACCTCATAGCACTTTATCTCTGTTCCTACCATAAGTTAATAGACTTGGAATCAGAAGATTTGGTTTGAATTCTGCTTGATTATTTACAATCAGGATGATCCTACCAAGTAAAGTAACCATAGTAACCACCTGAACACTAGTTTTCTCATTGTTAGTCAACAGAATATTTGCCCATAGAATTATTTGGAAATTCAATTTTGATAAAACAAGAAAGAACTGTGTCAACTGTAAAGTCTTATACAAAGTTACTTCTCATATAGTAACTTCTCATTTTCTTTCTCATGTACAACTTTTCTTTCCCCTATTTTATTTCCTGGAAGAAAGACCACATCCAATGAATTCTTGATTCTGTGAGAGCATTCAGGGATGCTTCACAACAGCCATTTGATACAAAGTTGCAGAATGAATGGTTGAATGTACCACTACATTAATCAAGGTAAGTTTCATAAAGCAGAATATTCACTGCAACCTGCTAAATGTGGAAGGCCAAAATCTGACTTCGACTTCTCTCCAATCTCACTGCCTATTTTTTTCCCCCATCACTTCAACCAACCTAGATTTACCTCTGATTCCTTAAATACACCCTATGTTTTTCTGGCTCTAGGTTTTGGGCCAAATCATCACCCCCTTTCGTGCCCTTCATCTGTTCAAACAGTATCCAACCTTAGCTCAAAATGGCTCACATGCCATTTTCTCCATGAAACTTTTCTTAATCTCACCCACTGGAAAGGACAGTTCTTATTCTGAAGTCCAGAGTATTTGTCCATCTCTCTCATAACTCTTATCATTTGACCACATATTATGTTGTCCTTTGCATGTATTATCTCACCTAATACACTTTGATCTTGTGAAAAACAGCATTGTTTTAGTTATCTTTATATCCTTCCAAACATGTATTAAAATGATTTCCATATAAATAGGTATTCTAACAATATATGTGGCTTCAAAGTCCAACTGCATGCCTCTGCTTTATAAATTGCCAAAAAAATGACATTTTATGAAATGATCATCTCTTGTTTGAAGTCGTCATTACCATCCATTCCTATCAACATCATATAGTATGAGCAGAAACGTATCTTCGCCAAAATTTTAAAAGCTACAACTATATAAACAAACTACTTATAATCCAATTTCCGCAATAATTTGAATGCAGCATGTTCTTATTAATCGCAATGTTATATTAAAGAGAGCTTATCTGAAAAGCTAAGGTACTTAATAGGACTTTTGGATAAGAAGAGTAAATGATACTTCAGAAAACAACCAGAAGTTAACACATTTTTAATTTACATCATTTTAATCTCTCATCACAGTAAGTATCCAAACTAACATAACAGCTACCAATAATCATCAATGCTGTTATTATCATAAAATAGATTTCATTTATAACAAGGGTACACAAGTCTCCTCTCTCAGGGATCTTTAAATCACATAATTCTTCATTGCCTGCTGTCAGTTCCTTCCTGGCTGTTCGCAGACAAAATGCACACATAGCCCACTAACAGCTGTCCTCCAGACAAAGTGATTTCTGTGCTTTCTCACCGGGTAGGAGCCACCAGATTTCTTTTAAAAACGTATTCTTCTAGCTTCTCTATTCTCACTTTTATTATTATCTCATCTTCACTATGTTACTTCTTAACTCCAGAGATGTCTGAGCTTTTTTGCTGTTTGGGCTTTTTACCCCTTCTCCCTGAATGTCCCCAAATCTCTACCTATTAAAATCTTTTTTTAAATTAATTAATTATTTTTTTATTCAGTGCCTTTAAGTGCTGGGTTAACATTAACTGACTTCTTGAGAATTACTTTTCTATCCTCACAGTAAGCAATGTTGAGCTCATTTGTGTCACTACTGGCCCCTTTATGATTTGATAGGTCAGGAAGGCTTACCAAAAGCCCTGAAGATATAAACTGTGGTCTTCTGAGAAGACACCCATCAATGGTGAACCTGTTCTCATGACTTCTTCACTTCACAAACTGACTTATACTGTTATAAATGACTCTCAACTAATGAGTGAAGCATGTCTTCACAGCTATATCAAAATCACTGGCAGGGAAAGGTGATGTACAGTTTGGAAAATTTTTTTCAATTTTATATTAAAATTGTATTTATAATGTGAAAACAGTGTCTGCTTTTTTCCCAGCACAGATATGACCCCAGTTAAGAGTACCTTAAGTTGGGTAGGCTGGAGTATGAATTTAAGAGTTAAATTAGTATCACTGCATACTAAACAATAAATATCACTGTATGCTACACAATAAATAGTGTGGATCTTACGGGACAGAGTGCAATGAGTCAGTGCTCAGCATCTTTGAACTGATTTTTACTTTATATGCCAAACTTATCAGAAAATCTGGCAATATTTTGGGCTTATTCTTGGGAGAAAATATTTAACTTTTTTTAAATTTACAATTAGCACAGGAGAAAAAGAGGAAGGAAAGAGGGGAGGAAGGAAAGAATGAGAGGAAAACAATGTCATTCTACGATACCAGGGATAAACTAAGCATGATTTGCGCAAGATGATGATATGGTTTAAGAGCACGAACACAATGAATAAATGCACTCACCTCGGTTAAATGAGGATTGGGATTAAAACCACAGAGGCTACATACAGTGGTTTGACACTCAGTGCATGTGTTAAAATTGGCCTTTTCTGGAACATGCAACAGAAGTTCAGTGGTATTGCAAAGAGGACAGATGGTTTTAGGGAGGCCTTGTACTGGAGTCTGTGCTGCAGATGGAGAAGTCGATGGATGCAGAGGTTTCCCAGCTCCTGTTTGGCTTACTGGTTTTGGAGATTGCTGAGCTGAAGGCTTTGCTGGGCCAGGCTGTTGAGGAGCGGGTTTTGCTGAACCAGGCTGCTGAGGTGAAGGCTTTGCAGAGCCAGGCTGCTGAGGAGGGGGCTGTGCAGAACCAGGCTGTTGAGGAGGGGGCTGGGCTGGGCCAGGCTGCTGAGTTGGGGGCTTTGTAGGGCCAGGCTGCTGAGGAGGGGGTTTTGCTGGGCCAGGCTG